AAATCAACTTTTGTTCTTACTGCTGCACAGTTCTATTAACAATTTATTAAATTTTAAAAAAATTATTTCAAATTTTAAATGAAAAACTTTAAATTCGTGTTTCCTTACCTGTCTTATTGCATTAGCATCAACACCAGACCTCCTTAATCCTGGGACTGAGTGGTGAAATCTGTTAAAGTCTTGTTCGAGTAAAGTTGGACATGCTGAATCTTCTTCCTCGATCAGTCTCACATTTCCATCATATGCTGAAATGAAGTAGAAAAAAATCAATGAAAGCAGAAATTAATTATTGGAATAAATTTAAAATTGATTTTTGCTATGACGGCAGTAAATTGAAGCACAATTTTCCCCACCCACATCTGTTAGATTAAGAACAATCATTTCCACAAAATCAATTTTATTAGAAATTAAACTTCAATCGCCCCAAATTATTCAAATGGTCAAAATTCCCATCACAAATATTCATAATCCAAACAAATATCAAACAGTTGCAGAGAATTGCCAGGCAAGTCAAATGAATTTATTCAAATTTCTCGCCACTTCATAATAATAAATATTTAGCATAATAGAACAAACAAAGTCAGCAGCTGACTGAATTGCTTTGTACATACATAATTGAGAGAAAAACTTCTCTGCAATACAATTTCATCTCTTATTTTAAAAATATTTTCCCAGATGGAATAAAATTAGCAGACCCATGAAATTGCTTCTCTATTATAACTATTTATCTTTTGTTATTATTTTAGCAAGCACGAAACTTTGTATGATTGCAAAACTTGACTATTCATGGATCATACGAAACGTTAATGTTGTTTGTTGACAAAAGAGATTTTCCCAATTTTCTCCTGGAATGAACAGCATAAATTGTGCAAAACTTTTTCATTCATTCAGTTTGTTATTTTTTTTATTCATCAACCTCTAAGGTATATGAACATTTTAAGCGTTGGAGAAGGATAAGAACCTTCATATATACATTATTTATGTCATGTTTTGGGGATATTGTGTGCTTTATTGCAGCTACAAGAAGCCCAGAGAATACAAAACACTGTTGAATGAGCTTCAACACCTACACAGGTTTTACGAGCAGCTTTCCTTAAGGTTAATAGATTAAAGCACTGACACGATAGAGCGTCGAATTGAGTAAACAACTGCATTTGGTAAAAGGTAATGGCCCGTAAAGTAATGGAAAAGCTTTCACTAAATTTGCTTCTGACAGCTGCGTGATGTTGAAAAGGCGAATGAAGATTCCCGAAATGCTGATGATTTATAGCGATGGGAATTTTTCAAGGCTTCAATTCTTCAATTCTTCGCGTATATTTCATGCCTCATCTTATTTCTTCTTTCTTCTGTTCCCTTGATTCCTTAGTATAATATTAAATGAACTCCCATCATTTGATTCCAGTAATAAAATTGAAGATGTAAAAGTTTTATAATTGAACATTACATTGAAAAAATTGTGCAGAAAAAGTTTAAATTGAAAAGCGTTGCCTAATCAAGCTTTCAGAAACATCAACCGATGTTAGCTTGGGTAGAAAAAATTTGATATCGTATTTAATTTATCACCAACAGTTTTATAATTCAATCATAAATGAATGAGTTTGTCTTAAGCATAGAACTTTAATTCTTCTTTTGAAGAATCCTTTAAAAGCAAGGACGATGAAGCTATTTCGATAATAAATATCACGTCGTAACCATTTCTCTTCCGAAGGAATAAGAAGACATAATCAAAACCTCTGATTAGGAACAGACACGTATAGATGAATGGAAAAGTTTTCCTTTTTCTTCGATTTATTTACGAGATTATTTTCTCTCATGCTAACTTGTTGCTGCGAATCAATCATGGAACGTATAAAGTCTAATTAAAATTTATAAAATTGAATTATTAGGAAGACGTTAGCAAGATGTTAATTTTATTGCCTCATAAATTACTTAAATTATCAGCACGTTAAATTTAAGTTATTAACAAATAACTAAAGGCGAAAGTCAAATAAATCATAACATTGATGTCGAATTTATGTTGATAACTTTTTTGAAACCTCGCAAAATTGCTGAATTTTCAGTTCTGTTCTATTGTTTTCACATAAAATATATTTTATGATCATAAAACTTTTTTTTCGTGTCCCTGATGATGAAGAAGAAAATATTTCGCAAAACTTTATTCATAGCTTTTTTCTGTTTTTCTTCTAGGTCGCAGGTTTCGTACAAAACTGCTACAATGCATGAACCAAATTTTTTCTTTTTGTTTCATCAGGAATCTCAGAAGAAATGAAATGAAACGAGCAAGTGAAACTGCAGTTGATTTTATGTTACAACATTCAGTTGGTTTTTATGATAAATCATTTCACTTCTTAAATACATGTTGTGATGGTGATTGAAGCTGTGCTTTATGCTGTTTTCTTGCTAACACTGCGGTTGAATTATATTTAATGTATCTAACTGTATCACTCAACTCTAGAAGAAAAAAGCAATAACAGAAGTTTTATTGTGCAATATGAATGTTCACTCAACACATAAATAAATTTATTTCATTGAAATACTTTCGCTACTAAACCCATCAACATAGAAACAAAATCGCAAAAGAGATCTTTGCTGAACTTAAAAACGCTTTCTTTGCTTTATTTGGTGGTTATTATAAATGAACATAATTCAATGCTAGACGATGTTTTCTTATTTTTAACGTTCAACATTCGAAGTTCGTTAACTTTATAGCTTGAGACGGTATAATAAGAATGCATATCATTTCGGTTGATTTATTCGTTGTAAAGCAGCTTTAAAGCTAATAATATGCATACAGAAAACCATAAAATCTCAACTAGAAACTTTCAAAGCTTCCTTTTACAAAAAAATTATTGCGATAAGAAGAATCTAATTTAATCGTATGATTAAAGCTTTGTTTGTTTCCCTTCTTTCGTCTTCAATTAAATAAAGAAATAACAGAAACATTTTATCTTCCTAATTTAGCACGAGAAACATTTCTTTTAAGAGAACTTCCGTTGTTTAAGATGACAGAACAACATGATATATTTTTTGTGTACAAATGACATAAAGTAGAGAAATTCTCAAAGGTTGACATAACGGAAGTAAATGTTTATTTGCTTATATCGTCAAGGCTGATAAGTCCGCAACATATCCAACGAAATGGTGTGTAAATTGTCAGATTTTCTGCTTTTTTTTGTTGTTGTTTTGTCACTTAAAAGGTTGAAAAATTGTAAACATGATTAAATGGCAACGATTAAAGATGATAGTGTTTATGTTCCTTTAGGGATTTAGAGGGTAAGTCATTGAAGGATTAAAGTTCGGAAAATTTCGTAAAATTTTGAATGTTCAAAGACCCTAAAGCTGTAGAAAAAAGCGTTGCATGTATCTTAAATTAATTCCATTAATTTGAATGTCCCCAAACATTTGATGTTTAATCTTTGCAACGTTTGTCATGGATTTTAAGCTGGATTTTTTATAAAATGTAATTCAGTTCCTTTACAGTTACAATCTTAATCTCTTGATACTTTAATCTCAGGTAAGCTTTGTTAAAATAACATGAGTGTATTGTAGCTTCCTTTATCCTAATGTTCACTTAAATTGAGAGGTTTCTTAAATATAAAATTCTTCAAGTGATGTACAGAGAAAGCGAGTTTGATGCTATCGAGGGAAATTTTGCAAGTGTCTAGTGACGGGAAGTCAATAAGTTTATTCAACTCCCAGCACACGCATAAATAACAAAGAGAATTTGAATCTCCAAAAGAAACAAATTTGAACAATGAACTTTGACATTTTTTACGAAATTCTTAAGAATTTTAAAGTTCAGCAATTTCTTGCGCTCAGAAACATGAAAATGACTGAAAGTTTTGATTAATTACAAAAGTTAACAAGTTAAAGTTAATATTTAGAAAATTCTCAAAAAACTCATTCGTTGTTAATGTGAATTATAAAATTGAAGGTTTGCATTTAACAATTTCTGAGAATGAGCTTCAAGGGAAATGAATTTGCAATGTTGAATGAATGTGGAAGAAAATCAGATTTTCCTTTCAATAAACGCGAGAGTAAAACTTGCTTGGAAAGCATGATATAATAAACTAAAGCTTGCGGCTTTTTCTTTTTCTTACAAATTCTATCATCAGTCGAGACAATAAAAAAATGTTATCGAATGACTTAGTAATTTGTCGAAGATTATGCAGTCCATGAAGACAACTGAATTCAATATTTCTCATGAAATGATTACGATCATAAATTCATTCATTGTCAAATTGTGGGGGTGAGAAAAATGTCTACCAAGAGTGCTATAAATAAAAATTGATATAAATTGAATTTGTTAGACATCAAATAAACATCAAGAATCAAACAAGCACATTAAATTAATCATTAGAATGTTGAAAATGGTGAGATTAATTCTAAGTATCGAAATATTTAAGAACAAATTGAATTTTTATAAACTTTTTCGACTTTTAATGTAGTTTCAGACAATTGCAATGATCACAATGGTTCTTGCTGTAGTTTCAACGAAAACTGTTATGACAAATAAAAGTGAACGAGTCGACAAGCCAACCAATGAACTTCACAACGATTGGAATGACTGGGATCATGATGAAGTGAAGCAAATAACAATCGAGAGAAAAGTTCCAGTGTTTGTTGAGAAGATTCGACATGTTCCAATAGTACAAAAGGAATACGTTGCAGTTCCTCGATACATAACAAGACCGATTTACATTAAACGAACTATTCCCATAATGATGCCACGTCCTCAGCATTATCATCATCATCATTACACATTAGCATAAGTAAATAGTTTCAAGTAAATACTTAGTTAGCCAAATCTGTCATTAAGTTTCATTTCTTTATTACATTGAAGTTAAATAAACTTGTTGAATAAAAGCAAGTAAAATTGATTACAAAATCACAAAAACTGCATCATTCAACATGAATGTTAATGAACCGATTTTGCATTGTTGTGGATGAAAACGATAAGTTAACGACAGAAAATTTCCCCAAAAGTCGTCTGTCAAATGATGAAGACGATTAATGACTTGGAAAGAGTTCATCGTCGTCTGTGTGATGTTCAGAGGATGTTGAAGTGAAAACTTCTCGCTTGTTGCCATTCTGATCAATGTAGTAAGGGACGGGAATAATTTTTATGGTTTCATTCTCCAGTGTGTTTATGTAAAATGGTTCAGTATCATATTCGCTTGGAACTGGAGCTGAAATTTCCTGTTGTTGATAGAAATCAGCTTGCGAACGACTGGAAAGTCTGTTGAGATAATTCAATGTCCTTAAAGTTTTTGAGGTTTCATTAGTCGATAAATTCAATTGTTTCTGTTGTTGACGATGTTGGTGGTGGCTGTGGTGGTGAAGTCCTGGATGACCTGGATGAGAAATTTCAACTGGAACATGCTGTTTTATGACTTTAATAAATGAAACCGGATCTGATTGCCCCACCGCAGCATATTTTAAAATTTTATTATCGGTCTTTACTGGAATGTTTTCTTTGTCAACATCTCGAGTCGACTGTTCCCTTGTTTCTACAATGCTTGGGTTGTCTTCATTCACAGATGACTCGAATTGAAACTGCTCTGAATTCTTTCTCAACTGTTGATCCAAATAATGAAGTTGTGCTTGCAATTCCTTTTCCTGATGACTAAATTTATTAAAATCAAATTTATTTGGTGGTTGCTCTAGTGAGAGGGATGAGTGAGATGACTGAGTGAGATGGGTGTAGGTAATCGTGATGATGTTGATTTTCACTGACAGGATAATGATGAAATTTTTGACTTTGGAACTGCGTAGGCGATGAAAACTTCTGCTGTTGGTATTGACAGGAAATCATATTTTGATGAACATTCACTAATAGCAAAACCTTTGCAATAATCTGCTGTGAGGGAAAATTAAATTCTCGCATTAAATTCATGTAATTAGCAATTAGAAATCGTACATTAATTTTAATCTAAATTGAAATAATTCAAAGCAGAATTTATTTTGATGAATTTTCTGTTGTTTTGTTTGTGAAACATTTTGGCAAATGACGATTAAATTCTTTAAGTTAATTAAGTAAAATTTAATGTTACTTTCTGTTTGAACATAAAGTTTCCTTGTGACTTAAGAACAAAAATAAGTTTTCAACATTATTTGTCGTGCATAAATTCCTTCAGAAGAAATTTGTAGAACTTACTGGCTTTCCCATTGTTCAGAAGTCGCTTTAATTATGATAGCTTGCTGTTTCTTGACTTATATTCTTATATGTAGTTTATTGCTCCACCCTCGTCTGTTAAATATCTCCTATAAATTATATCTCTTGATATTTGTTCACAATGTTAACGATTTTGTTATCCTCTTCACTGTCACTTTGAAGATTTATTTCTTCTTCATACAACTAAAAGAAAGATTTACACTCAACAACCATAAACCGCACAAATCGACTGTTTCTTAATTGTGCAATTACTTTTGCTTTTATGCTTCAACATAAGATTTTTAATGAAATAAAAGTTTCCTATCAAAATGTGCAAATAATTTCTTTCTTGAAGTCCCCCCAATCAAATCGCGCTCGAAGTCAACCAAAGAGAAACGGAAATCACTGACTCAGCTAGTTAAAAACTTATTGCTTTGCTTTTCTTGAAGAAGAAAAAAGCGGAAACTTTTTTTTAATGTTGAATCTTGCAAGATTTTCTTCTTCTTTTAAAGACGTTTATAAGCATTAAGAAAGTTTACAATTGACTTATCGTATATCGTCGACTCATTTACGACATCAAGATTGAAAGCCTTATTTGTTGAAGTTTAACTCTTTAGTTCCAGCTACTAAATTGACACAATAAATATTCCTCGTAACACAAAAGCTTATTTCCTTACTTTACTCTGTTATCTCTTCGTCTCGTTCACACTTGAATATAAAACGATGAGAGTTGAGAATATACAAAAGCAGAAACTCAATCTCTTATGGAAAGTGCTTCCGACGATTCAAATGCATTATCATCTTGAAATGTGATGGAATTATGAAGGCGGAGAGTGAATAAAACATGCAAGAACATGTTTGTTTGTATGTAGTTTCACTTCATTTTCCTATCATTAGTTAAAGTAGAAAATCGATTGGAAAACGAAACTTTAAAGCACGAAAGACTTATTCGAAATAAATTAAACAATTTCACTTCATGACACGAAAAACATAAATTCAGATTAAAAATGTTAGTTTATTTAATTATTTCCAATTCATCGTTGAACACGCAAAACTGCTTTAATTAAACATTTCGATTTATTCAACATCTAGCAAGAAAACTCATAAATAATTCCAAATGAAATATTTAATTTCGTGCGAAACCAGCAAGAAAGATAAATTTTGATAAACATTTTAATTGTTTTCTTGTTTATCGATGAACACGTTGCTTGTTCAATTAAGCGTGTCAATTTACTCAAGACTCAACAAGAAAACTTCAATGGCACAAAAAGTGAGAGCAATATTTATTGGAGAAGTTTACATCATTTCGAATTACAATTTATTATGTAAACTTTGTCTAACAACGAGTTCTCGCTCGTGGCTGTTGCCTGTTGCGATTATTTTCATCTGTCATGCTGATTATATTGATTTTCTTATTCCTTCTTGTTTCAAAGTCTAAAATATTTTCATCTCATCGTAGAGATTTTTTCACAACCACCAAAATCTGATATGTAAACCAATTCATTGTGCCCCGTAAACAATGTGGAAAACCTAATGAGAGAAATAAAGAAATTGTTTTAAGCGTGTCACGTGTGAAATTTCAAAATAATTAATGGGGCACATTTGCGGGTTGCGTCGTTAATTTATTGACTGTGACATTAACAGCATGAGAAACATTTTCATTTCGTGATTGATGGAGTAAACATTGAATGGTTATATAAGGCATCGTTCATCTGTCAGATTTAGGTTTCAATCTCACGCTGTCGAAGATGACTTCCACCGCACACACAACATAAGAACGAGACGGAAAAAAAAGATGAAATAATAAGAAATGTCCCTGTTATTGGATTTGAAATAATATTTTCTTTCCTATTTTGTTATTTTTGTCACTCTGCTTTTTAAAATTCCAATCATGATCACAGCGGAGAACATAAACACCAAGAAAAAAGCAACATTGAAAACTTCTATATCTGTGACATTTAATCGTCTTAAGCAACGAGACAATGATTTTTCCCTTTAACACGAACATTAATTTCAAAATGAAACTTTTTTACTATCATTTTATTGCCATTAGGTTTTATGACTACAAAAATCTTCTTGTCTGATTCCCTTACAATTCTGAATGTCTCTCATAATGAGCTTTTCAATTGAAGCTTCTAAGGTATTTTTTCCAATTTTTTTTTCTTTGTGACTTCGGAGTCTTGTTAGCATAAAAAATTTTGTTTTACTAAACTTTTATTCAAAGTCAAAGTTACGTAAAGAGTTTGTTCGTGCGGGAGAATATGATGATGGAGAATAATAAAAAATAACCCTGAGTATAATAAGATTTTCGTTTCAATTCAATCAAAAAGTTTTAGAAAGCAACGAGAAGAATTCGGAGAAATTTCTAACAAAAATTTTGCTTTAATGTTAATTAATGTAAAGTCAAATATGTATAAGAATTTGTTTGAAGATCTACTAGAAATAATATTTATAGAACAAGAAAACTAAATAATGAAGGAATTTCAATTGCTTAATAATTTTACGTTTGCCTTGCATAACTTTAAGGCGCAAACCTAAAGAAAGCTTTTATTTTACTTGAAAAATAAATAAAATTTAATTAATCAATGAATGAGTAAAACGACTTCATAACATTCTATTAAATTTCTTTTCCATTTAAGGTCTTATTAAAACTCTAGAGACATCATTACGTGATATTTCTTGGATATGAAGATGAAAAGATTGACGACATACAAGTTTTTAAGTTCGTTGAGCACTTCTTTAAACTCTTTCATCTGTTTTATCATTTTATATAAAATATTTATTAAAGTGCTTTCTATCTTATACGATACAGGAGCTTGTTGAGAAAGACAATAAAGCTTTCTTTTAAAATTTACAAAAGAGAAAAGCGATCAAAAGTTTAAGGACGTAAAATTAAACATTGATAAATTGAGGTTTTTTTTAAGGTTTTCAAATAAAAATCTCCCAAAATCGTCTGCCAAAATGTTCTGTGGTTTGTTCAGATGAAAGGACGTTTCACGAAATTTGGGTTATGAAAATAGAATCATATTTTCCGAATCGTTTACTTGTAATTTAGGTTTCAGCATTGGATCTGTCAGACCGTAAAATTTTTCGAGTATCTAATACTATAAAAGCTCAAAGTTGTTATGTTGTGAAAGTTTCAGTATTAATCTTTTTTAATTGGAGCTTTGTTTCTAGTAAATTAAAATTAATTCTCATGTATCCAGCTGGAGGAAGAATAAACTCGATTNGGATTCCTAGGATTCCTAGGATTCCTAGGATTCCTAGGATTCCTATGCATAGGATTCCTAGGATTCCTAGGATTCCTAGGATTCCTAGGATTCCTAGGAATCATAGGAAAATTGCAGGAAATTCCACTGCAGGAAATAGGACCCACTCTCAGTATTAATCTTTTTTAATTGGAGCTTTGTTTCTAGTAAATTAAAATTAATTCTCATGTATCCAGCTGGAGGAAGAATAAACTCGATTATAAACCTTTCCTTCTCACTATCTATCTATTTAACAGATTTCAAGAGATTCTTTACATTTCGGAAGACTTATATAGATACAAAGAATTTCATACCAGGAACTCATTTTTTAAGGTTTCACATTTTTTATCACCCAAGTTTAAAGCTCGAGTTTCATAAGCACTTGAAAACCCTTCATAAAAAAGTCATTTTATCATAATCAGAACTACAGGGACATCCTCTGGTTGTAGACGGTATACCCGAGAGATGGTAGAAAAAAGAGAACATAAAACCTTAGAGTGATATGATTTATTGGATAAATATTGTTTTTTACTCCAATTCAAATGGTCGAGTAGCAAATATCTAAGAGGTTTCAGGTCGGTTTAGAGAAAAAAAAATGTGACATTGACCACACAGGTCATCTTACATAAGTAAACATTCTTCCTTAATCCATGTAACTTTGTGAGAAGTTTTGCAGCTATCATGGGAGAAAAGTTTAGAATGCTGAAATTATCAAACTAAAAAAACTTTTTCTGTTTCTACTTTCACAATTTTTGGCACACTTAAGGGATACTTTTTAAGACTCGTCAAAATATAAGCCTTAGATATTCTATATAAACATCTTCAGCAATTCCGTTTACAAAGGAAAACGAATGAAAAGCAAATTAGATGAAGTACCAAGTTTCAGTTTTTGTTTTGTTTTCATTTGTTGTTGAAGGCGTTCGTCATGGCTTTCAATTAAAAGATAACTAGAAAATATTTCGTACATTTTGTGTTATAAAATGTTTGAAATAATTTTATGAAAAGTTCTTTAAACATAATCAACTGTCTGAAATTCTTACTGAGCTCATCCGTTGCTTTACTTTAACATTCAAATCTTCTTCTTTCTATCCAACCTCATTAAACATTGAAAGCATTCCCTTTTTCTTTTACTATTTTTTGACACATAAATTTAAGTTGTCAGACATGTTTATTAAGCATGAGAATATTTAGGTTCGCTGCCTCCGAGATTGCACGTAAAAGTGTAAAAGTATTTCTTTGTTCTAGCGCAACTTGAGACGATATTAAACGTGAAACGATCAAATTGTGATAATTTAAATGTTCTACGAGTTGAACATGGTGGAACTTTACTTTTACTTTACTGTCACTTGTAAATTTAAGGATATTTAGAAAGAAAATATTTGGTTTTTTGACTCACCTTTGTAAGCGTTACCAACAGTCGGTGGTACAACAAAGCTTGGTTGTGAATTCTGCTGTGACAAGGTCGTATGTAAATGAGGATTACTTTCAACGACATTAGGTTGACGATGAAGTGTTCCATTGGATGATGCAGATATGGATGAAGTGAAACGACATCGTGCACATGAAGGGTTGAGTGGAGGAGCTGGCGGTGCCGGAACGGGAGAATTCGACATTGCTGGTGAAGCACAATTCGTCGAAATTGGTTCAATGCAATTAACTTCTTTGGGGACTGTGTAGTTATGATTCAAGTTAATCATCGAATGATGATGTTGCGTGGGAATTTGTTGATAGTTTGGCAGATATTGAAGATTATATTGCGATTGATGACAATAATTAGGATTGTTCAATGACGCTGTAGAATAAGGATAATAATAACCGAGAGCATTGGTCGAAGCACTCACTGGATTAACTTGTGGATAATTAAGATTACAAAAATAACAACTACTACGGCATGTGCACTGCAAAGATTGCTGTTGATGTCACGGAATCACTTCGCTTTGTCTTCGTTGGCGATGATTACGAACGGTTGAACTATCGTTGTTGAATATTGTTGCGACATGCGGTCGATTACGTGAACGCGATCGCGGAAGTGTCGAGAAACGCGGTTCAAAAATAATGTCAACCGATTTTTTCGGCGTGACAGTGTTGAAAGCTCGTGAACTTGATTTGAGTGCTGATTTTTTTACCGAACCGGTCAAATTTTCACGCGATTTTCGCGGTAAAGATGCTGACGACGAAGATAAATTTCGCTCATTTGCTATCCATTGATGCCGCTCGTTACATGTGCAATGCATCATTCTCTAATAAACGCGTCGTCACCACCTTTTCTCTGCCGAACGTTCGTCGAACAAATGGCAATCAAATTTGGTGATGAATTCGCATGAATTTTTCTTCAACAATCGCGTCAAAAAATACGAGAGAAAAATAAATGGAAAACTTATCCAGTCGAATGAAAGGAACGGAAGAAAAAAATAAATTGACTTACAGCACACAAAACGAAACGCGAACGAGATATTAAGGGTCGTTTTTCATACTTCGTTCCATTGTCAACAATTCGACTGCTTTTGTATACACGAGCGGGAATTTTATTACGAAAGCTTTTTTGAGTGCTTCTTCTCTTTAAACATTCCTTTTCGATAGATAACTTTTGCACGACACTTGAGAAATATTTCCTCAATCCTCATCCTTATTGCATGATTCTTACTTTTCGTTCTTCTTTTCAACAACCATCAACCAAACATATTCTTCCACTATTAAGATTTTTTATCACACCGTTTACATTGGCACCAAAATTTATTCCGGGGCTTAGCGATATCAGAGCTCTTCTGATAACTCATCGTTCGTATGAAAAGCTTTTATGTTTGAATGCTCGAGAAAAATCGAATGACTGTAGTTTGAAAAGAAAACACTCATAGGCAGGAAGTACAATGAACGATGAATCTGAAATTAAAATTTAAAAATATTTATTATTGAATTGAATTTATTGAATTAGGCAAAACGAAAAAAAAATTGTGTGTGAATTATCAATATTGTACATTATCTTTTGAAATGTTATCGAAGTGAAGTCGAGGATATAATGATACTTATCAGATGTAACCCATTAAAAATTCATCTGGATAACAATTCGTTTAATTTATTATTTTATATTAAATTTTATAATTTTCAAATCACTTATATAGATAAGCTGTGTTATCTGCATACGAGTAGATAATTTTAATTTATTTCTTGGGAAAG